CAAGGCTGAGGAAGGAAGGATGGCCGTATGGTTAGTGCACTAGACTGGGACTCGGGAGACCGGGATTCAGTTCCCAACTCTGCCACAGACTCCCTGGGCAAGTCACTCAATCTCTCTTTGCCTCTGTCCCTTGTCTATAAAATGGGAAGAATAATCTGGCCTTTCTTTCACCCTTTGCCATATCTAGTTAGACTATAAGCTCTTCAGGGCAGGGCCTGTCTCACTACGTGTTTGAACAGGGTCCTCTCGGCACTACTGTAATACAAATCAGTAATAAGGAAGTTATACCAGCCTGAGCAGGGCTGTCCTTACTATGTACAATGAGAGCCACACACAGAAGCCCACTCAAGCACTCACTCCCACAAGAGCGGAGCTGTTTGTTCCTGTTTGTTTCAATGCAGCTGGTGGCTGTAAGATTAATTAGGTGCCAGGGCACTCAGGGCTCTTGTAGTGGCATCTGGTTTACCACTGTTTACGCTGAAATCTAGAGAAATAAGCCCAAGGATGAGGGGGAGATGCAATGAAATTAAAAGGCAGCGAGTTTGAACATGGAGAAAAGAGGCTATTTTTACCTCAATTGACCCATGGAACTCGCTGCTGCAGGATATTACTGAGGTGAATCACTCAAAACAGTCAATAAAGAATGAGAAGTTGCTAAAGATAATATTTGGAGATACAACATGTAGGGTAAAGTTACCAAAGTCTCAATCCTCAGTCTTCAGGGTATAAGACAGCAACCAGTAGAAATCCTCTTTCTACCATCATACAGTATTGCACAGGGACATGTATTAGAGTTTGTTTTGCCTTCCTCTAAAAGCTCCTGTCATTAGTCACGGTTGCAGACAGACTCCTGGACTGTCCCATTGGTCTGTTCCAACACCTCAGTGTCAGTGTTCTGACACACTCAAACACACAGACAACATTAATCTGGTGGTAACACTTGGCTGTGGCTACAGGTCAACTCAGGCAGGGAGGGGTTGCTCTGGGCCTGGTGGTGGTTTACCTGAAGCACTGGCAGTGGTACAGTTTGCCTTGTTTTGAGGGGTGAAGGTGGGGGGTTGCTCCAGACCTGGGGATGTTTTACCTGAAGCACTGGCGGTGGTACAGTGTGCCTGAGGGGTTGCTCTGGGCCAGGGGGTGGTTTACCTGAAGCACCGGTGGTGGGAGTTTGCCTGTGTTGGGGGATGAAGGTAGCGGGTTGCTCTGGGCCTGAGGGTGGCTTACCTGAAGCACTGCCAGTGGTACAGTTTGCCTGCACGGTTGGGGGTGAGGTGGGGGTTGCTCTGGGCCTGGGGATGTTTTACCTGAAGCACTGGCGGTGGTACAGTGTGCCTGGGGGGTTGCTCTGGGCCTGGGGGTGGTTTACCTGAAACACTGGCGGTGGTACAGTTTGCCGTCAGCCAAGTAGCGCTGAACCAGGTGGACGTGCTGGTGGCAGGCTGCGCAGGTGCTGCTGAGTGTGTTGCGCTGGGACCGCTCCGCCAGGCCTTCGACAACATCATCCTGAGGCAGAACACAAGGAGAGTACAGACTGGAGGGGTAGCAATCGAGACAGAGCGTATTTCAAATGGAAGCTCTTTGGGGCAGGGACGGTCTTTTACTGAGCGTCTGTACCGCACTCAGCACAATGGGGTCCTGATCCTGACTGGGGCCACGGGCGGCAAGAAGAGAGATCTGCTCAGCAGCTGAGCTTCGGGTGTAACCTCACTTAGAAGAACAGGACAATATAAAGAAATAGCAATTATTTCACCCCCCCACATTCAGGTTGCAGGCTGCCAGTCCCGGAGAAAGGGCTGTCCCAATCCCCCAGCCCAATCCTCAGGAAGGCTCCCTGAGCCCTGTCCCAGTACAGAACAGACATCCTCATCCCCCTCTAACCGTTGCCCGATTCAGGAGGGGAAGAGGTGAAAGGGAGGTTTCTAACCCCTACCGAATCCAGGGGCTGCAGTCACAGCCCTGGTCCATCCCAGGGAAGAGAGATCCGTGCCTGCTGTTGAATCCTGAGGCAGAGGGTTGGGAAGGGAAGGGGAATCCCCTGCCCACACCCATCCCAGTGACTGTGTCCTTACTCCATCATCCCCAAAGAGGAGGGCCTTGGGGTTACCCAGGAACCTTTGGCTTCTCAGAGAGCCCTCTTGCATTGCACACTGCACTTTCTTCCCCCCCTTCACCGAATGAAGCAGGTGGTGAGCAGCATTTAATACCCAAGACCTCTAGAGAGAGATAATTCCTCAGGCTGGACCCTTCTCCCAGTGGAACCCACCACAAAGCAAAGCACACTACAAAACACACACACACACACTCTCATGTCCCAGAGAATGCAACAGACCATCTGTTTGGATTCCTCTCATTGTGCCAGATGCTCACTCAGATGCTCCAGTGATGAGCACAGTGCACAGAAAGTTAAAAGATGGGGTTAACTTTGCTACAATAGATGAGGTACCTGTGGTGCCGTGGTGCTCCCCGCTGCAGGGATGGGCTTCTTGGGAGCTGGCAGAGGGGGTGATGAGGCAGCAGCCGGGTGCCTCATGGGCGGAGGGACTCTGGCTGGAGAGAGAGAGAAAGAGAGACAGAGCAAAAGGGGAATCAGCTGCTGACAGAAGAGGATGATTCATGCAAAGCACATGGTGTAGGAAAATCACCTGGCCTTGTGACCCAGGATGGGATCTGATCACTTTTTACACCTCGGTACCTATTCCAGGAAGGAGGGAGAGGCATGGGCGTAATGGGTTAGCCACAAGACTGACAATCAAGAAACCCTGCATTCTAATCCCAGCTCTGACAACAACTCCCTTCTGTGGCCCTGGGCAAATCACTCACCTCCTCTGTGCCTCAGTTTCCCCATCTGTAAAATGGAGATAACACCACTTAACTACCTCACAGGACGTTGTGATGATCAGCTAGATAATGCTTAAAGCATGCAAAGCACTGGGTAAGTGCTAAGTATTATTACAGCCCCTTGGGGCTCACTCTCCTGAGTGCAGACCACAGAATATGACAAAACCCCTACCACGGCCAGGGCTGACACTCACTAACACCTGGAGGGAGGGGCGCACCTGTAGTCTGTTAACACCTGGATGGAGTCCTCAGATCGGACACAGGGTCTGTCTTGAGAAGGGCTGGTGTGCGTATTAGGAGGAGGTTTACTATAAGCTGTCATGGGATGCACCTGGGGGGTTAGATCAAGGGAGTAGAGCAGGGAAGGATGAGTGGGAAGCCCAGCTCCTTACAGGAAAGATGCTCTGTTGGGCAGCTGGCACTAAGCTTCTCATCACTCCAGTTCCCCACACCCTTTGTCCACTGTTCAAGTGGGACCAGTAAGAGCTAGGTACCATCCAGGGCACCCTTAAGTACAACAGCACCTGCAGCTGCGATGCCTATCCCCAAAGGAAGATGGAAACAAGGGAAGATCTGGGTGCTCTCTCCCCACTAACTTCCTGGCCATGAGACCTACTCGCCCTCCCAGCTGTTGCTGGGCTATGAGAACGGAGATTAATTCAAGAATACTTTCTGCTAATTCAAGGAGGCCAAATCACACACACATACAGCCCAGTCACTTCCTGAAGCTGTCCATTCCACAGGGAGAAAAAGAAGCACTGGGTTGGAAACAGGAAGCTGTGATGAGCTCACTACCCGAGTGGAGAGGGACAGATGATGACACTGCCACAGTGAGAGAATGCAAAAGTATGGTTGAGTTCCCTTACATAACACAGAGGGGGTCAGGGCAGAAGCTGGAAGGACAGGCCATAGCTCTCACCTTGGTTGGGGTTGGTGAAATGGTTGTAATACTGAGACACGTAGGTCATGATGCTGAGGCAATCGGGGACCCTCATGGAGACCATATCGTTGGGATCCAGCAGGGCGGGGATCCCCAGCTCCCGCTCTGCCAACTCAAAGGCCTGTGAGAGTTCCAGAGAGGGAGGACAGGAGTTAAAACAGAAGCCCACTGGAAAACCAGGGTGGATAAAAATCAATTATTTGTTTTTAAATCAAAAAAATCGGATTTTTGTATTTAAATCAGATTTTTTTGATAAAATGCTTTTTGAGGAAAAAACCTATCTAAAGATAGTTTTAATTAAGATATATTATAGCTCAAGGAGATCTCATCATGGAATACGGATTATAAATTCTAATTCTATAGTATGAGACAATATATTCATGTAATGTTTAAGAAAAGTTTTGTAAATGAGTTCCAGTAGTTCATGGATTAGGGACCCAATCTCATGGGGTTCCACAGGCTTCTGTATAGATTATTTAGGTTAATCTTTCTATCTACCCAATGGGACTCAGTGCTCAGATTAGAACAGTGGTTCTTAACCTTTACTGCAGCCTGCACCCCTTTGGTTCTCAAAATATGTTCTCACACCCCTTAAACCTAGATATATATTTTTTGTTTGTATATTACAGTAATTGTTAAAAACATGTATAATGTTAATAAATACATAGGTTTGATGAAACAAAGTAGTTGTACTTATGTGCCTGTGCTTAATTTGT